CCAAGCTGAGTTCCGGGGTTAGGATGTAGGCTGACAACTCTCCCACCCATAGGTTTGTGAGATATAAAATAGAGGGGATCGCTGCTCCTATTCTGGGCATTCCCAGGAGGCAGCAAGACAGTATAACCTCACAGAGTTCCCTGAGACCTCATGGAGTCCAGAAAAACCAGAATATTTTCAATGCACCCAGAAGTGTCACTGAAGTAGACTGGATTAGTTAGAATGCTTTTGGATGCAGGTAATAGAAAATCCAATTCAAACTGATTTAAACAATAAATGGATTTTATTGGCTCAGAAATAAAACCTCAGAATTAAAAGTGATTTGATCAGGCACTTGTTCCATTTCTGTTCTCTTATGTGTATTGACCTTATCCTCAGGCTGGTTTCTCTCCTAATAGCAAAATGGTTGCATCGGTTCCAGGTCTGACATCTGCCTGTTAAGATAGAAAATTTTTCTCAGCTGTGGAAAATTACTTCTGGGCTTCAGTTTGGACCAAATTCAGTCGCATGTCTATCCCTGAAAGAATCACTTTGACCTGACACAAACCACCCACCTTCCAACCAGTTCCACCCCAATCACCTGACTACTACATAATGGAGAGGGGTGAAATGAATTCTGGAACAGCAACCAAGAATGTCAACCATGTAGATGGAGAGAGCCACACTGTTAAAAAGGACAGGAGTAGGAGTCTACTCCACAGTCGCTATGTGGACAGTCAGTCAGGGACCAGAAGGGGATGATGGACATTGCAGTTGATGTCAGCACTGACAGATAAGGACCATGGACCAGATTCCTTACCATCCTACCCCTGACACTTTGGCATTACTTACCCTGTAGAACTTAGATCCAACTCTGGAGAAAGAGGGGCATCCTGCAATTACTGAAATTATATTTCCACTACCCTCAGCATACTTGAGGACTTGGAATAGAAATTAAAACATAGAAAATAAACTTTCATTTCTTATCCATCAGAGTTTGTGGACTAAAACTCATATCTGCTATATTATTTTGCACTCTGATCTTCAGAAATGATTTCCAACAAATCCATGCTCACATGTTAAGAGGAGAGAGTCCTTCCTTTCATTTGTCTATTGAAATTCTTTTGAAGCTCCTTCAAGGCTCAGCTTAAATGACTCTTTCTTTGTGAAGGCTTTCCCAACTAGACAACCAGAAGTACTTCTTTCTCTCAGTGCTTTGTTTTTATCCCTTTTGTTGCTGGGTGTCTTTGGAAGGCCCAAGTCTCTGCCTTGATGTGTGTCTCTGGTCTTAAATGCATTGTGTTTAGAATATGGTACTACTGAGAGCTTTCTGAAAATATCTCCGCTGCCTTTGTCAAAAGGCTTCAAAATAGTGAGTTAATATCTTACAGACCATGGAAGAAGAAAAAGTGCTTCCTTTGTAGTTCAATTGAGGATCTCTTTTGGGGGAGGTGGAGTCTTGCAGTATCTTCCACTAAATGTTATGATTTCAAATGAGTGTTATCTTTGTATACTTTTACCACCTAGTTTCCTGAACTGAGCGCTGTGTTGTTGTTTGTGTGCTGTTGAGTAGGTTCTGACTCATAGAGACCCTATAGAACAGAATAGAACTGCATCATAGGCTTTCCTAGGCTGTAATCGTTATAGGAGCAATTTGCCAGGTCTTTTTTTCCTCAGAGCTGCTGGTAGGTTTAAATTGCTGACCTTTTCGTTAGCTGCCGAGTGCTTAACCATTGTGCAACCAGGGCTCCTTATTGAGCTCCGTGAGATATACTTAATTTAGGTCTTAGACAAAAGACTGGGTCCAGCCATGGCGGTGAGGGCCCATCCATGTAGCAAACCCATTGCCATTAGAGGAAAAAGAAAAGGCGGAATTTTGAGCATGTCTTCAGATGCAAATAGGAAATTTTGTTCCACTATATGGGTTTTATGGGCCCAGAAACAACACTGCATAAGCAGACTTAGCAAAATCCATGATGTGAATTGCTATTTTCTGTGGACTAGGTTAAATCAGATTTCTCTTGTGCAACAAAATCAAGGATTTGAAATTTGAAAAACAAACCGGAAGAAGCTTTTATGTCTTGGCATTTTCTGTGTTTCAATTATAAAGCCCATGTGTTGAGAGAAGGTAGGGAAAAAGCAACATATGTCAGAAAGAGCCAGAAAAAATGGTAGGAAAAGCAGTGATGTTTTTATTCCTTCAGAGTGACAAACGAGTTTACACATTGCAGGAGAGGAAATGACATAAAACAAGGTAGGTTAAGTTCTTACAGGAAGGTAAAGTGCCCTTTTCTCTCTCACAGGGGATGTCTGTGTGTGTACACTGAGGCAGAGGTGAGTGGTGATTGTATGGTGGAGTGTAAGAGGGAAAATTGTTAGCCACCATGTTCCAGCTCTAGATACTACTGAGGGCTTTATATTATTTTATTTAATCTGTACAATTACCTTATGAGCTAAGTATTTCTTTTTATTTTCAATTTATATGTGAGGAAACAGCCTCAGAGTGAGATGTGTTCAAAGTACAGTAGAGTTTTGGGTTATGGGACAAGATTCAAAACAAGTTTGTAAGCCTCTAAATCCTATTCTCCTCACTCGTAACATCACACTGCGTCTTTAAATATCTACACTATATTATCAGGAGTCAAAAATATAAAGAAGACCAAAGGATATAGAAAAAAAAGGGCACAACTCAGTCCAAGAATAGACAAGAATAGAAACAACTGCTTTCAGACACGCCAGGTGCTGTTTTAAATACTCAGTTTTTTAAAATTGTATTGTAAATAAGTTTAATGCCAACTTCAATGAAACAAGGCTTTTAGGTAAGAAAGCAAGACATCGGATTTCTTTTTATTGTTAAGTAAGATTTTATTGTGTTTTAGGTGCAGGTTTACACAGCCAATTAAGTTTCCATTTCACAATTTCTATCCAAATTATTCAGTGACATTAGTTACATTTTTCACATTGTGTCAACGTTGTCTTTAATTGCATTCTGGTTGTTCTGTTTCCAGAGTTCTAGTTTCACTGCTCTCTTATCTTCTCATCTTCAGAGTAATTGTTGTCCTTTTGGTCTCATATAGATTTTAACGGAGCACCATACTCACAGTAATATCCTTTATTTTGTGGGCCAATCTGTTATTTTGCTAAAAGGTGACTTCAGGGGATAGTTTTGGTTCAACGTTTAAAGGGTATCTCAGAGTGATAGTCTCAGTGAGTCCTCTAGTCTCAATTGGTCCAGTAAGTTTGGATTTTTTAAGAGTTTGAGTTCTGTTCCACCTTTTTCTCCCATTCTGTCAGGGTCCATCTATTGTGGCCCTGATCAGAGCAGTTGGTAGTGGTAACTGGGCACCATCTAGTTCTCGTTTCAGAGCAGGTGAGGCCGTGGCTCATGTAGGTTATCACCCTGTAGTCTAGTTTCTTCTCTGAGACTTTGGTTTCCTTCTTTCTCTTTTGCTCCTGAAGAGTAGAGACCAATAGCTGTATCTTAGATGGCTGCTCACAAGCTTTTAAAACCCCAGATGCTACTCACCATTCTAGGATGCAGAACATGAACTTTAAGAACTATATTGTGCCAATTGACTAAGTTGTCCCATGAAACTAAAGTCTTAAGCCCTCAACCTGGAAAACCAATCTCTCAAGGTGTTTGGTTATGTCTGAGAAGTATCTTAACAGTGTCCTCTATGAATATATATGCCTGCACACGCGTATCTGTACGAACAAATACAGAGATACTTTTATCTGTGCATATATATGTACACACCTTATAACTACCCATACACATATATGCCCATGCACATACATACGTGACCGTACTTGTTTTTTTTGGTTACTGTTGGTGTTGTCGCCAAACTATACATGTCATATGCTTTAGCACAAATATCATTTTCTCTTGTGTGCTTCTTAGTGCCATTGTTTACTTTGGTCAAGCTGTGCTCATTACACATACATCCAATGCTACTTCTCCCATCACCCGGTCTAACAATTATCTATGATCTAGAGAGAATAAGGAAGATAAATAAGGACAATGAATAAGGAAGACTGAAGAAGAATTGACACCTTTGAATTGTGGTGTTGGCAAAGAATATTAGATATACCATGGGCTGCCAAAAGAATGAACAAATCTGTCTTGGAAGAAGTACAGCCAAAATGCTCATTAGAAGCGAGGATGGCGAGACTTTGTCTCACATACTTCGGACATGTTATCAGGAGGGACTGGTCCCTGGAGAAGGACATCATGCTTGGTAGATGGTCAGCGAAAAAGAGGAAGACCCTCAATGAGATGGATTGACACAGTGGCTCCAACAATGGGCTCAAGTATAACAATTGTGAGGATGGCGCAGGACTGGGCAGTATTTTGTTCTCTTGTACATAGGGTCGCTATGAGTCAGAACTGACTCGACCGCATCTAACATCGAAATGATCATTGTTTTTACCCTATATTCTATTAATATACAATATTCTATTACTATACCATATTACCTTAATTGATCTTAGGATATTAAACCAATTTTGCACTCTGAGGATAAATGCCATTGGTTATAGTGTATAATCCTTTTTCTATGTTACTGGATTCAGAATCAAACTGACTTTTGAGGATACCCTGACTTTGGAAGAAGTGCAGAAATTTGTCAAGTGAAATGGTCTCTTTATAAAATTTTTGTGGTTTTAGTGGTATTCTTAAAAATTAGAGAATTCATTTATCAGGATCTTTCATCATTAGGACCAGTAGCCCAAAAGATTGAAAACAATTCTGTCGAGTATAAGTGCCAATTAACAATGTAGACTGTGTTTTCAAACTATGCAATTTTTAAACAACATTATATGAATATTTTATTTACTTGGATTAAAAAAACAAAAAAACCAAACCCAATGCCATTGAGTCAATTCTGACTCATAGTGACCCTATAGGACAAAGTAGAACTTCCCCATAGGGTTTCTAAGGAGAGGCTAGTGGATTCAAACTGCCCACCTTTTGGTTAGCAGCCAAATGCTTAACCACTGCACCACCAGGGCTCTTCACTTGGTTCAGGGGGAGTCAATTCAATTTTGTTAAAGCGGTTCTTCTATTAAAAACCATTATTCAACACTGGAATTACAGGCTCAGAAATTTCTTAAAAACTTTCTGAAACACAAAACTAAAAGTTCAGACTATGAAAAAAATTTTAATTTATTTTTGTTGTTGCAGAACATATACAAATTCAACAATTCTTATATATGTAATTTAGTAACACTAATTCCATTTTTTGAGTTGTGCAACCATTCTCACACTGCTTTTCTGGTTGTACCTCTCCCATTAACAGTTGCTGTTGTCAGTTTTATCTCATATAGATAGACCTTTAAAGAGCACAATTCTTAAAGTTGACATTCTTTACTAGCAAACTATGAATATTTAACACCAAGTTCTTGGAGGTCTACAGTGAACATTACAGAGTTATCCCCAATTTGGTTCTTCTCTTTCAAAATGAGTCTGTAAAGGTCTGCATCTTTTTCAGAAGCGAGAAAGTATCCTGGGTACGATGAAGATTCAAACTGTGTCTTCTCATCATGTCCTTCAACATTTTTCATAAAGAATATGATGTCACTTTGTGTATCATTGATATCTTCAGGAGGAGTGATTTCCTATGGAGAAACAAGAGTATTACTTAATTTTTTAAAGACATGTAACATTTGAATATATGCAATTTATTTTGAAGTATCATACTGCTCAGAATTAAGGAAGGTTTTCTTCTCCAGAGTTAAGGAGAAAAAAAAAAAACCTCTGAATAAAGGAATACTTATCTCTCCTTCTTAATTCCTAATCTCCTATTCTCCCTGCCCACTCTGCCTCTTCCCACAATCAGACCAACATTCAGATCCAGGTCTCTAGTTTTACCCCAATTTACCCACCAGCTAGCTTCCTTCTCTCCTCTCTCATCTGTCCAAGATGAAGTAGAGTTTCAGCAAGGACCACAACCTCTTTGTCAATTTGTCTTCTCTAACTATTCATAGCTAAAGACATTGATGTCATCCACCAATAAGCCTAAGTTAGCCCTAGTTTCCAAGCCAACTGTGAGAGACGCAGAAGTACCAGGAATCTCAGCTCCTTCCTTCTGTGGGGCCTGGGTCTGAAACTTACTGTAAAGAGACCCAGCACTTGTTGTTCTAAGGCTAGGTCCTGGGTTCCTGTATAGCTATAATGGCTCAGTCAGCAGCCCTTGACTCTGTCTCTCAGCCAAGCATTTTAGTTCCATGCTGTTGTTCTTATGTGTCGTACAGTTAACTCCAACACATGCGACCCTATATGACAGAGTAGAACTGCCCTATAGGGTTTCCTAGGCTGTAATCTTTACAGGAATAGATCACCAGTTCTTTTCTTCTGAGGAGCTGCTTGTGGGTTCGAACCACCAACCTTTCAATTAGCGGCTGACTGCTTAACCACTGTGCCACCAGGGCTCCTCCTCAGCTCCGTAATAGTCTTGAATTACTACTGTCTGGAACGTAGCCTACTTGGCCAGGCTCTCCCCTGAAAGGTCAAATTTTAATCCTTGTATCTTTCAGCCACAGGATAGATCACTTAAAACTATAATCCTGTTGATCACCTAACTGCCAGTACTGTCCACACTTTTCCTACTATTGCATCATGTCTACTTTTCAGGATGGACTAGAAAATGTGGGGACCACTCAAGCTTCTTCCATGTTAATCCTGGAACCAGTAGATATTTTGAACTTAATTTTGACTCCACATGGTAGCAAAGATTCCCAAAATTTTACAGACTGACAGAGAGATCCCTAGACCCAAGATAGCATTCCAGAATCCTTCCAAGATGCCTGAAAGAATCTGGGGGATGCTTCCAAACTTCTAAATCAATTATAGAATTTATAGTCACAACTCTATTTTTTATACTGTTAAGTTTTTTTTTCTTTAAATTTTATTTATTTTGTTGTTGCTGTTGAGAATATACGCAGCAAAACACATACCAATTTGACGGCTTCTGCATGTACAATTTAGTGACATTGGTTACATTCTTTTGAGTTGGGCAACCATTCTCACCCTCCTTTTCTGAGATGTTCCTCCCTCATTAAGATAAACTCACTGCCCCCTAAGGTTCCCATCCAATCTTTCGAGTTGCTGTTGTCAATTTGATCCCATTTAGATAGTTCTTGAAAGAGCATAATGCTCAAGGAAGACCTTTTTTACTAGTTAAGATAAACTATTGTTAGGTTTTAAGAAGACTTCAGGGGATGTTTTTGGTTCAAGGTTCAAAGGCTATCTTATCAATAGTTTCAGAAGTTCATCCAGCCTCCATAGCTCCAGAAAGTCTAGAGTCCATGAGAATTTACAATTCTGTTCTACATTTCCCCCCTTTTGATCAGGATTCTTCTATGGAATCTTTGATCAAAATGTTTAGTAATGGTAGCTGGGAACCATACAGTACTCTGGTATCATGGCAAAGGAGGCTGTTGTTCATGGAGGCAATTAGCCACATATTCTATATCCTCCTCCTATTCCTGACTCTTCTTCTTCTGTTGTTCCAGGTGAATACAGACCAACTGTTGTGTCTTGGATGGCCGCTTGTAAGCTTTTATGACCCCAGGCACTACATAACGAACTAGGAGATACAAAAGAAGCACTAAACACATTATTAGGCCAATTAACTGGGATGTCCCATGAAACCACGACCCTAAACTTCCAAATCAAGGAATCAAATCCCATGAGGTGTTTGGTTGTACATAAACAGACTTAGTAGCTACTCTTTTTAAAAAAAAAATCGTTGTTGTAAATATATCTATCACACAACTTCTGCCAATTCAAGTTTTTACAGTTGTACAACTTATTGACAGCAATTAAATAATTGGCTGTGCAATCCTATCCTTAATCAATGCAATTTTTCCATCACTGTTAGCCCCCCTTTCCTCCCCCCCTCTCACCCCAGGTAACCACTAATAAACTTTGGTCTCTATACATTTGCCTTTTCTTGTCTTTTTATAGGAGCCCTAGTGCCTAGTGGCACAGTGGTTAAGAGCTTAGGCTGCTTACCAAAAGGTTGGCAATTTCAAATCCACCAGCCACTTATAAATCTTGATCTTTGCTCTTTAGCAATAAGTGTGGGTCCTGAAGTGATGATAGTATAAACTAGTTCCTCCATTGGAGTTTACTTCTGCAGCTGTCTAAAGTATACCAGACCTAAGGAAGGTGCCCTAAGATGAGGAAGCCAATTTGGGACTAATAAGAAGTCTAATGTGAAATGAAAAATAATCCTTAGCCAAAATTCCAAAAGCTCTAGAAATACTACAGAGGGAGATGAATCTTGGTTCAGACCTAGCATGGAACGTTATAGTTGAAGGTGAGGATGGGTATGGGTAAGATAAGTGATCTCTCTAACCACAGTTAGATGTCACATTTCAGAATAGAGGCAAGGAAATTCTGGAGTAGTAGCTTTTCTTGGTTATGGTATTGATCACTGAGTCACCACAGGGAAATGCACAACACATGGATATGGAAACAGTCCTGGTGACCCTGGGGGAACCTTCAACATGAAAAGCCCTATCTGGTGAAACTTGAGCGTTCCAAGAGTCTAAGGGGTTCTTTAGATCAGGAGGAGTTGAATCTGTACCTGGGAAAGTTAAACTTGACTTAGCATCTGTTCTTTTGGTCCTCTCCCAAGTGCATTGGCAAGTCTGAGAGAACCTTCACCAAGTCTGGATGCATACACAGGAAAATAGTCACTGACAGTAACCTCTTGAAGCAAATCCCTTTCAGTGTTGTAAAGGTTCTTGCACAAAGAAAAACAGAAGTAGCCCTGAGCACTATGACTTTATAGTTACTAACCAGCGCAGAAAGGTAAACACATAATGGTAGCCACTTGTGTCTTATTATCTAGAACCTAGTCTACATCTACAACCACTGCTAAGATCTTTATTAATGGGAAATAAGGGAATAAAGACCAAGAGCTAAAACTGGTCCTAGCCTACTCCTTCTCTTTCTCTCCCTTCCTTCTTCCTTCCTCTCTTCTCTCCCTCCCTTCCTCCAACTAATGTTTACTGAGTTCCTAACAGAAGCTGTGAAGATAACGACACTTAAGTGTCAGAGCCCTTCACTTGCACGGGCCTCTTTCAAGGCTCCCTCTTTTCGTATTCTAACTAAATTGTCAACTTTATGCCTTTGGTAATTTTATATTCTTTTTCTTTAAAAGGACTACCAAAATTTTGTAAGTCTCGGGCACCCAAAAACCTGGATTTTCCCCATTTCCTACTATGTGCCAAACATTACTTCCATTTCCTTAACACTCTCCCTAGTCTCTCCCCACAAGAATCCACTTGTAGGTCAGGATTATCCCATTTTCCAAATCTGCCTCTGCAGCTGAATTAGTTTTTCTCCTCTCCACAAGGCTTGAGCATGGCCATCTCTTCCTTTCCTTCTGGTTTTGTTGCTCAATAACAACATGCTTAACCCTTTCCACCCTAGTCCTCTAATGCCATTATAATAATTAAGTTAATTGCCTGTCAGGGCATAAGAGTGAGAACTCTATTGCTGCCTGAAGGGGTGGCACTGTCGTTGAAAGGGATGACCAAGGGATTTGACTGGAGGCTGTATCTGTTGTATACACACTGTTCTTACTTTGATTATATTTTGAGCGGCTTTTTTTTCTCCCTCCCAATTTTCCCATTGTCACTGCCACTAAGATCATCACTAACTTTCCTTCAATAGGGACTGGGTGATCGTGACAGCTGTTCTTTACTGGCACATCTCCACTCAGAAAAAAGTCTTCATGACATGGGATTCTCCTTTGAAGCAGCTACCATTGTCAGTTTGTGAGCATCCCCTGGCGGCTCTCATTGAGAGGAAAGTTCTCTGAGTCAGTCTATAGCTACAGTTAATGGTTGTTTAATAATGGAGAAAAAAGCAGTGGCCAGAAATAAGTGATACCTGGCTTTGAGATACATTACATACATCATTACTTTTACAGCTGATCTTGTTAATTTTATTCACTTAGATTAACATTAAAAACAACATAAATCAACCAAAAGTTGAAGGATGTGGCCAAGACTTAGGCTAAGAAGCAGGAACAATTAGGGGTAAAAACATTATCATCATAATTTACAAAGTGGATGATACCCAGAAGAATAATTAGCTTCATTCTATGCACCAGGAATTATTCTGGAAAGTCACATGCTGTTCATAAATAAATATGGTAATTCACATATGCATTTTATATTTTTATTTATCTATAGGTTGATTATTCAGAAGGCCCAGGTTATGAAACTAGTGTTATGGCCCTTCCTCCCTGTGATAGGCTCAGAAAAACCATGAAGTTACTACAATTGGTTAAGGAGTTTGAAAATTTTTAGTAATTATCCATTTTAATGATTCTCTGCTTCTTGCTATTCCTGTTCTAGTCCACAAATAAGACTAAAACTGAATCAAGGCTCAGTCTTACCTTAAAGTTAATAGTTTTGTTCTCACAGGAGAGCGTAGAAATTCTTTTCCTACACTTCACAGAGATGGTCACTGCCAGATGTCTAGGTTGGCTATCTTTATACACTGTTATTATGAATATGGCCTCGGGTGCATTATCTGAAATAAACATTGATAAATAAGAACACTAGGTAGAAGAATTTTTGCAAATCAATATTTATGGAAATTAACCAAAGGATAGTCGTAATAGGCCCATTACCAATCCTGCAATCTGAGATTTGACCAGTCAGGAGAAGGAGATTATGTATAGCTGGCCAGACATTCTTTACAACACGTTTAAATGTGTATTACAGCATACATGCAGAAAATTTTTGAGTCTTTTAAAGATATTCTTAACTCTAAAAAGATTGTATTTACCTATTTTTGTGTGGTAAAAATACATAACATTTGCCAATTCAATAATTTTTACAAGTATAATTCTGTGACATTGATTACATCCATCATGTTGTGCAACCATTACCACTATCCTTTCTAAAATTATTCCACCACCGTTAACAGAAACTCAGTGCCCTTAAGCAACGACTACCCCACTACCTGTTCTGCCACTCCTGCTGACCACTAAAAAGCTTTGGTCTCTATACGTCATGATTTGAATTATGTCCCCCAAAAAATGTGTGTTATCAATTTGGCTGGGCCATGATTCCCAGAATTGTGTGGTTGACCTCCATTTTGTGGTTGTAATTTTATGTTAAAGAGGATTAGGCTGAGACTGTAACACCACCCTTACCCAGGTCACAGCCCTGATCCAATGTAAAGGGAGTTTCCCTAGGGTGTGGCCTGTACCACCTTTTACCTTACAAGAGATAAAAGGAAAGGGAAGCAAGCAGAAAATGGGGGACCTCATACCACCAAGAAAGCAGTGCCAGGAGCAGAGTGCATCCTTTGGACCTGGGCTCCCTGCGTGGAGAAGCTCCAAGTCTGGGGGAACACTGATGAGAAGAAGGCTGACAGAGAGAGAGAGAGAAAGGCTTCCCCTGGTGCTGACGCCCTGAATTTGGACTTGTAGCCTACTGGACTGTGAGAGAATAAATTTCTCCTTATTAAAACCATCCACTTGTGGTATTTCTGTTAGAGCAGCACTAGATAACTAAGATACTATACATTTACCTATTTCATGTAAGTGGGGTCATACAGTATTTGTCATTTTGTGACTTGTCTTTAACTTTTAAATGTTAATAAGAATATTACAATTTTATTTATTAAGGTAAAAATTCAGTATTTTCCAAGATGCACATTCACTGTTTCACCTGTGCCTAAAATGCTGATATTTGGAATTCATATACTTTGGAAGGCAAAGAAACGTACTCATTTTCTAAGGCACTTTGAAGTTCAGGTGTAAAACAGACTCATTTGAAATATCTGTGTGTTTATTTTTAAATTCTGAAATTTGAAAATACTACTAGCATATTCAGCTATAATCAGCAGGAATTAAGGATCTAACTCTATAAGGATTTCTTACAGTTACTGCAATTACAATGAAGGGCATGGTGATCCAAATGTAACCACAGAGTGGTATGATACCTAGCAATGTATTTATTGTATCCAATGTTTCACCCCATCTAGAAAGTATGGATGTCATATAAAGTTTCTTGCAAGTGGAATTATTTCTACTCCTGAGACTGTTCATTTAGGGATTGGGCCTAGTATAGAAAAATGTAGGCAGTAAAATAGAACAGGAGGAAGTAGCTAGTCATTTTTATGTTTGCAAATATTTAAAAAAAATACCTTTATAGTCAGTATCAGGCATATCCTCAAACACAGGTTTATGTTTCCGGTCTATGAAGAGAACTTGGTTGCTCAAATTTCGTATGATTGCGAGTTTAGTTGATTCAAGCTTGCCGAAGTGATCTGCTTCCAGGCTTCCTACAATATTCATTAAATATCATTAAGAAAATTATCTTTTTTAATACATCTACAAATAGGTGTACTATATACTTCAGTTTTCAATAACTACTAATTACAATCTTCTGTTACAGAAGCATCTATGAAGTTGTCTGTTGATTTTAACCACTTCCAAGGGCACATCCTGTTTAACATTATCACTCAGAACTACCTTACCTCTGAAAACTCAAATTCAAATATCCTACTTCCAACCAGAATCTTCTATCCTTTTCGTTTTCTCATATTTTTATTCCAACTATACATACTCTTAGAGGTCACTGAGTCCTCTAGTCTCCTCACTCTTGTATTCCCTCCCTATCTGACAATTTCATCCTGTCTTCCCTTCTGTCCCTATGCAGCCTGGATCCCATGGTTAGTCATTTTATCTACCCTTTTGCCAGTGTCTTAAATCCCTAACTCATTTGTCTTTCTGCTACAAAACTCCAAATCTGAGTGCTGCTGAGAAAAAGCATACAAATGTGCAAACTGGTTCCACTACAAATCCACTGGGCCTTCAATACTTTTGTCTTCCAGTTCAGCTCTTTTTTCCACAGCCCATACCTTCTTCACTCACCTCAGGTTCTCTAAACCATTGCCTCTGCTTTCACTTTCAGCAAATGACCTCCTGCTACTCCAAGGGAAAATGTGGAAAAGATGCCCTTCTGGTATTTAAGGCTAACCCCATCTGTGTTCTTTCTATACCTTCTACTGGGACATAGATTACCAGTCATTCTATCAACCCAGCAACTCTACTTCCTGGATCTTATCCGTAAGAAACCATTAGACAAATATGTAAATATTTCTATACAAGAATGTTTATGGGGGCAGTGTTAATAATAAAAACACACTGGGAACAAATGTTCACCAATTGGGAATTGATTAAATACATTTTGATATGCTCTTACTGTGGAATACTATGGGGCTACTGAAAAGTTACTATAATTGTAATTATTCATTGTCATGGAAAGATGCCCACATATATCAATAAGTAGAAAAAGAAGCTTAGGTATAGTATAATATTTTTATAAAAATATAAACATTTGTGTGTATAAAGGTATATACTGAAAGAAGTATAGAAATAGTACATCAAAATGATAGCAATGGTTATTTCTGCATGATTTTCATGTTTTTATTTTTCTTCATGTTATTATCTTTATTACCTGAATTATTTATAATAAACACTATTTTTATAATTATATGAGTTTTATAATCAAAACTCTTCATTTTCAGATTTAAAAATCCTCCATCAACCCTACCCCTCTGTTGCTACAGCCTTTTAATAGCCAAGCTTCTGGCAAGAACTGTCTGTATCATTTTGGTACTTTCCATTCATTCTTCTACTCATTGCAGTCTGCCTCTACCTGCATTTCTCCATCAGTTGCTTTCACCAACATTACGAAACTCTTTGTTGCTCAATCTAAAAAAGATGCTTTCTTGCCCTTGATTTTCAAGGCTGCAAAATTCAACATGGTGCCCATTACCTCCATCTCAGAATGCTCTTCTGGGATTCTGTGACATAACACTGTCTTGGTTTTTCTTCTTCCTCTTTGCTCTATTTTATTAGTTTTTCTTTCCTTTGCATCCTTTAAGTGTAGGTATTTCTCAGAGTTTAGTCCTTGACTTTTATTTTCTCACTCTGTGCATTTTCTCTGGGTTATCTTTTTATTCTTATAGCTTCGGATGCCATAAGCCTCCTGCTATCTGTATCTCCAGCCTTATCTTCGTCCTGAGCTCATATCCATATGTCCAACAGTCTACTGGAATCTCTACTATGATGGCCCACAGACATATCAAGATCTAAAACCAAATTCATCATCTTTCTTTTTTTCCCTGCATACCAAACCTTTCTTCCTCCGGTGTTTCTTATTCCACTGAATGGTAGAAATCGCCTGGGTGAAAAACTTAAGCATTATCCTTTCTGCCTTCCTTCCCATCCCCTTCCACACCCAACCCCTGTTGATTCTCCCAAATATGTCTAACATCCATTCATAATTCTTCATACCCACTGTACCTATCTTAATTTATACCACCATCATTTCCTATAGGGATTCCAATAATTGGCTCTTTACTGGTATTCCCCCCCACCCCTTTTTGCTTTCCTCCATCAATTCTTTATACTGAAGCCAGGAGGATATTTTTAAAAATAAAAATATGATCATGTTATTTCTGAATTTTAATGAGTACATGGCCACCTAGAATAAAAATTATATATTCCAGACTTCTTGCAGTTAGATGTGGCCATGTGACTAAATTCTAGTTAGTGGAATATGAATGGAATTGACGTGTACAGCCTCCAGGTAAAGACTTCAAAAGGAATGAACTTGTCTTCCCCTTATCTGTACCTCTTTCTCACTAGCTGGGATACGGACCTAGGAAGTCGGTGATGATTTTTAACTGTGAATGAGTTCAGCTACCTAGGGGATGATGGAGTAGCAAGATGGAAGAAGCCTGAGATCCCAACATTATCAATCTGCATATCAGCCACACTAGTCCTGAACTGCCTACTTGGACTTTTATTTGAGAGAAAAATAATTCTATTTTTCTAATTTTCAGTCTCTATGTTTTAGATCTCTTTGTTATAGCAAATGAATCTGCATCTTAGCTAATACATATCGTGCTTAAGATCCTTAAATGGCTCTCCATTACCCCCAAGATAAGGTCCAAATTCCATAGCTTGGAATAAAAGAAACTTCTTGATCTGCACCCTCTTTATCACTCTAGCTTCTCTCATCATTCTCCTACACCCACCCAAGCCATTGTGAATTACTCTTAATTTCTCATGCATGCCATAATTTCATTCATATCTTGGCCTTTGCGTGTGGTCTTCTCTTTGCCTAGAACACCTTTTCTTAGCTCTTCAAGTCTCTGTTTAGATTACATCTCCTTCAAAGTGTTCTCTCAGAACCTGCTGGATTGAGTTAGGTGCCCTTTCTATATGTCTGGGAAATAGATGCCAATAATTACTGAATGAAATCTGTGGAGACCAGCTCAATCTTGAAGAAACATGAAGGACTAGCGTAAAAAAAAGTTGCTGTTTTTTATTTCTAGTCCAGTAAGGATCGCCTTAAGAATGGGGAAACTGCTACTTTTAAGGAAAACAGTATTAGAAACTAATGACCTTTAATAATCTGGGGGTCTGCTAGAGGATTATAGGTTAGATGTGGCTATGATCCTCCCTGAATGCCAGGACCACCTGCTAGAAGGCTTCATTAACAAGATGTAATGACTCAACCTCATAGTTCTTCTTCCCCCACCCTTCCCTTTTTCCTCTACTTCCAGAATTCTCTGGCCTCTGGGAACCTCCCAGGCTTCTTTCCAAAGCATTTCTGAGAGAGGAGGTTGAAGAAGAAAGATGTTTTTGATTTTGGATAATAATTCTAATGCTTCAGTCCCCTTTTCCTATGCCCTCCAGACAGTCCATGGCTCCCTCCTAAGTTTAGGACCTACATAACAGCTAAGGTTCATTTTGCAGCTACTAAGAACTTCCGGATTTCCTATGATGTAGAGTAGCATATTTTGTTAGAGGTTTTTTTTTAATCATGTATGTTCTCCTTCATTCCAAGTCCACATTCCCTTGAGGGAAGATTAGCTTCCTAATAAACCTGTACCATGTGGACAGTTTCTGCCATCTGAGAAGGGTGATATGTATGTGTCTGTGAACTTTGGTCAAACAGCTACTTACTTTGCAAAGAAAGAGAAATAAATTTATACTTTACCATCATTTTCAGCTGAGAGAAAAAAAAGAAGAGAAACAAAATATGTTAAATTCTATACTTCAACTCAGAATCTCTTCTCACCCTACATTTTTACCACTCTTTACCACCACTCCCCATTTTTAACCCCATCTCACCTGTAATGACCTTTGATAGCCTCTATCAGAAATAGCATATAATCAGTCAAAAGGTCCCATAAAATGAAATTCATTAGATTTAGTGTATTCCAAGGAAAGTTGGATATAAAACTTTAAATCCAGTTTATAAATTTAAATTTGTAGCTAAATTGATAGATTCTATTCATACACTTATTGCTTCAACAGAACGTCACCTAAGGACTTTCTATGAAGCATTCAAATGAAGCCAAACTTTCAATGGAAGAACTGCCCATGGAAGATTAATCATAAGAATCCATTTTAATGTGTCAAATATCTTTACATATGATGATATACCTCATTCACAGAACTCCAGATTTAAAATATCTCTTACATAATTTGCCAATCTGCTTTGGGAAACAGTATTCTCTGACTGTACCCAGTTTTGTAGGATTTTCATGACATGCACCTCCTACCATTAATTGAGCTGCCATTAATTGAAGTGTCTGGATATGTGCTAGAACAAGGTACGGGGACCACAGACACGTTACATTCTAGAGGCCCGGTATTTTTTTCCAGAGAAGAATGTCATTAAAATTACAATGGACGTTGGTGACACAAAAGAGTTGCTTAATTGTTTACCTCACAACATTTTTTCTAGTTGAATTCATTGCTCTGAAACCTGTATCTGGCCTACTGCTTTAGACTTACATATAAAGTAAAGTGTATTGTCAATAAATTTCATTTCTACAAAGTTGATGCAACTGTCTTCTATTGGTTCAGCAGCCATCTTTATTCCTAAAGAAAGAAAAGAGTCATCTGTTAAGAAGTAACCATTGTTCCTTTGTCAGTTTCGACTACCTCCAAATTCAGAAGTCAGTGTATCATCACTATGCTAATGAACACTCTGGGCATTTAATAAATGCCAGAAGTCTTCAGCTTATGAAAACCATGTTCTTCCAAACGTTCCCTTGCAAATCATCCAATGTTTAGATATGGAAAGCATTTTCTCATTGAAACAATGTTTTAAAGGGTGAATAAGTAGCTCACTATTGAACTGAACTATTGTTTTAGTATTCTTTGGTGGGGGATACAAATATATTATCTAAAATATAGCTGTAGCTGAGGATTCCATAAACACACCTAATCCTGTCCTTTAACTAGGAACTGATTCCATCCCTGTCTTACAACCAATGGGCTCCCATGGGTGAGAGGCTGAAGTTTTGTGACTTCATTGTCAAAGTGCTACAGGTGAGGTGATGATAAAAATGGTGTTTTTGCCTAGGGGTAGGGCCAAGATGGGAGGAGGCAGAAGGGCTCTGGCATCTGATGGTCCTCTTTCTTTCTTAGCAGCAGCAGCTTTTGCTCTGGAATTTGGATTATACTATATATATTTTTTACACAAGTAACGCATGAATACATTATTGTTGTTAAAAAAAAAAATACAAGAGTTGAAAGTTCCTCTTCTTGCTCTTTGTCTCTGCCCCATCTCACCCCACATCAATATGGTGTGTGCCCCTGTAGACATCTGTCTCTATACAGTGGTTCTAAACCTAGGAAGTTTGTGAACTTAGATGGGAAAAGATTACATATTTATTTTCACCAACTTTTAACTGACATTCTGCACTCCTTCCATTATGAGTGTAGGAAACAAACCAGTTTTATTAGCAGTACCTGTGACTGTCACTAATAGAAATACATATTTTTCTATTGTGTTACAATTGTTGCAGATATCTTGAAATGTGGCATAAGTTTATTACTACTTTGAAATTACAGAAGTTATTAGTTCTAACGGTAGATCTTTGTTACTTAATGTGTTAATAAATAGGCACATACTATATCACAAAAATTGTTTGATAACTCTAATTGGTTTTCTATGCAATCCTAAGTATTTAATTTTGTGTATGTAAAGACGTTATTCTGAGAAGGGGTCTACAGACTTCACCAGATCTCCCAAGGGGGTCCATGCCTGCTCTATAAGAAGCCCTCCTATAGAGTTCAGCAGTGCCATGGGTTCCTGAGGGCAGTTATGGTTAGGCTCCAAGGAAGGTGGCTGGATCACAGAGGTCATTGGTATATACGGGGGTATTTATAAGTCTGTGCTCATAGGTGGAGAACTTATTCAAATTTTTTCTAGCATAGTCTGAGGCCAAATATATATGGTAGAGGCGGTGGAAAAGTAAAACTCAGCTAAAAAATTTAATCCAAATTAAGCTAATCCAAAGTATTTGGAAAAATTACTTGTTAGTTTGTGGCTCTCATGACAGAAGGGCTGGAGAAAATGAGAAAGATTTGAAGGGAAGCAAAGAAAAAAAATCTCAAAGAGCTCTTTCTCCCATACTTTATATACCTTGAAGTTTGGTCTAGAGGAGTAATTGTTTAGAATATAGTGTGAAAAAGGAGCCCTGGTGGTGCAACCATTAAGGGTTAAGTGCTCGGCTGCTAGCCCAGAGGTTAGTAGTTATTGGGGTATACGTAACTTATAAATTTCAATTTCTACCTCCAGATCCATAGTTTCAATTATAAGATGTCCTGAATTACTTTTCAAAACTTGTCCATATTGCCTGCCCAAAACAGAAACCTGGGTGTCCTTCTTGATTCCCTTGTCTTACTTTCCCTGTCTGTTAAACACTGTAGATTCTAACTCAGAAATGTCTCTAGAATTTGGTATCTCTCCATCTGTGCCCGTACTGTCTTAAATCAAGCCCTCAACACTTCTGGCATCTTCTATTTTAATACTTCTCTATTTGGCTTTCTTGCTTCTAGACTGTCCCCTACTCCATACTGTTGCCAGAGTTATTCCCTCTGCCAGCCCAGAATTTTCCCATTCATTCATTTATTTTGCCTGGTCAAACTCTCCTTCATCTTTTAAGTCCCAGCTCAAACATCTCTTCTAGGAACCCTTTCCCGACCCTCCAATCCTAGCTAATTATTCTCCTCTTAGTGTCACCTAGCCCTGTTCATACTTCTGAAATGCTCTTCCTACACTGAATTAAGATTACTTTAATTACAAATAGGGCTGCCCAGCTTTACTCTGAGTTTCTTTAAGACCAGGATTTGAATTCTCAACACTTGGAGGGAGCTTATTACACAGTAGGAACTCAACAAGTGTTGGTTAAATGAATAAATGCTTGCTATGATAACACTTGTCACCATGACAACAGTGTGCAGAATGACTAGCTGAATTTCTTTTTTTTTGATCTTAAAACTTCCACTCTGTGTGAAAGCCAATGAAAAAGAGAAAGAATACGACGAAGAGGGCCTAAAAACAGATTTTTTAAAATAGAATAATTTTTCTAATATTCTTCCTCCTTTTTTCCTAGTATTTTCTTTATTTTTTTTTATTTCATGTGAGTGTTTATTTTGAATCCATCATTTGTTTTCTTTGCCACAACTCTGTTAGGTCCTCAACACATCTGTGATTACAAAGTGTTGTCTCTCCCAACTTCCTTTTTCCTCTCAATTTTTCTCTTTTCCTTTCTCAAGCATGTTCATTTGCTTTCACTCTAACTTATGAAATTTATAGTTTCACTTGGATAAAAATGCTTTGAATGTTTCATCTAAGATTCTCAGACTATTGACTTTTTAAAAGAGTATACTACCTCAGAAAGAACTTCCCAGGATGATGCAGCATCAACTGGATTTTTGAAACAGCAATAACAAAATGTTTTAGTTATACAGTCCTTTAGAAACTAGACGAAGGCTAGTAGATAACAGAATATTACTGAAATTAGGCCACATGAGCTGCTATCCTGTCGAGGCAAGTCACTTAATTCTGCGGGTCTCAGTTTCCTCATTTGTACAAGGAAGTTGGAGGAAGCAGTCTTCAAGGTCTTTTCCAATTTCAGTATTCTGTGATTCTAGATTCTAGTTAAGGCTGCAAGGAGAGAACCATTTATTTGTGGCAAATAAATATTTCAAGTTCTATTAAATCTTCCAAATTCCACTTTCTCATATTTCCAAGACAACACATATTTATTGGGTATTTATTATATACTCAAAGGAGTCCCTGAGTGTTGCAAACACTGGACTACTAGCTGAAAGGTTGACGGTTTGAACTCACCTAGAGGTACCTCGGAAGACATGCCTGGTGATCTGCTTGAAAACCCTACGGAGCAGTTCTACTCTGCACACATGGGCTCACCATAAGTCAGAATCAACTCAATGGCAATTAACAACAACAGTTACATCACCAGCATTGTTCAGTCACTAGGGTTTAAAAACACACTATTACATTATAAGTAAAAATGAGGTTGAAAAGCAACTATGATTATATTTATCCTTACATAATTCTGTGGGATACAGTAGGCATGGGATGAAATGAAGCAGCATATAAAAAATCAGGTGGCTAGTAATTTTTACAGCATCAAGATCAAAATGTAATTTTTCAGGTCTATGAATCATTTTATCCTTGAAAACCTTGCCATCTTATGAACGTGTGTGTAGGGGATGGGGGTAGGGATGAAAGAAGACTTAAAAAATTAAATAAATAGCCAATGATAAAAGGTATATTTAATCAACTGTTAAATATAGACTCAAGCACAAAAGAAAAACCAAACCAAAACAAAACAAAATGGAACTGATATAGTTGGTATGGTCTTCAGAAAGAATTGACTTTAACCTTAAAGGAAGCTTAAGATTTGAATAGATGGAGAAAGGCATGGTTAAGATTTGGTAGATACACAAGGGCATGGAAGATCATTTATGTGATAATCAAAACAATGTTGCTGTGTGGGGTAGACAGAATGGAGTAATTTTTTTTACTGCAGTGGAATAGTCCTGCTGGGAAGCAGCGAACACAAGGTAAAGTGGGCTTAGGTTATGGGAGGCTTTGAAAGTCATGTAGAAAAGTTTGAATTTAATGTCACAGGCAATAGGAATATACTGCAGGTTACTGACTGGCAAATAGTGCATTCTGAAAAAGAGTAGAAAACAGGCTATGAAACCACTGTAACAACGAATGTGGTAGGAATATTATAAACAAGCCAGATTAAAAAAGATATCTTGAGAGAAGATTTACTAGAACTTGAAATAGCTGAACATAGGCAAAAAGAAGAGAGCAGTTTAAGGGTATCCCAAAGCCATAACAATGGACTCAAACATACCAACAATCATGAAAATGGCACAAGACCAGGCAATATTTCCCTATATCTAAGGTTACCATGAGGCAGAGCAGAATCCATGCCAGCTAACAACTAGGGTGTCCTAATTTTTGTTATACTTCAAAATAGAGATAATTCTTCGACTCTTTCCTTATTTTAAAATAAAATCCTCCTGGAGAAGGCTAAAAGAGTCCTGGTTGCACAGTGGTTAAAGCGCTCAGCCGCTAACTGAAAGGTCAGCGGTTGTAACTCACCACAGGAGAAAGATGCCGCAGTCTGCCTCCCTAAAGATTTATAGTCTTGGAAACTCTGTAGGGGTAGTTCTACTCTGTCCGACAGGGTTACTGTGAGCTAGAACAGACTCAATGGCAACAGCTTTGGTTGGATTTGGAGAGGGCTATAATATCCGTTTGTAGCCCAACCCAAGGGTGGTGAAGTAGATTCCATCAAGATTATTAACATTGAACAAGCATTTTATTTGCTTGTTTTTAGTATAATTGATTCAGAGTTGAGACTCCCTTTAAGAGACTCTTATTTAATCATTCTAAAGCAGCGGTTCTCTGGAGGTCTGTGGAGTCAAAACTATTTTCATAATAAGATTTTAAGATGTTATTCATCTTTTTCACTCATTGCCTCACGAGTGCACGGCTGAGTTTAACAGAGGCTACATTATATGTGATATTGCAACACGCCAAATGCAGAAGCAAATAAGACTCCAGCTGTCTTCTATTAAGCCAGACATTAAAGAGATTTATAAAATGAAAAATGTCACTCTTCAAACTAGATTTTTTGAAAACAGTTATTTTAATTAATAATTTTGTTTATGTTAAACATATGATGTGCTTATTGTTATTTTTAAATGAATTAATAAATAGCTACTTTTAAAATTTCTGTTTTAATTTCTAACACAGTAAATTACAGTAATACAGTAAAAAACCTAGATAAACAAAAACTCTTAGGGGTCCCAGATAATTTTTAAGAGTGTAAAGGAGTCCTGAGACCAAAAAGTTTGAGAATCTTTTCTCTAAAGTGATACTCTGCAATATTTGATAAAAGAGAAAAATAAGTTTCTATTCTGACTTTGCCTATGTTACTCACGTTCCTATTGTCAGTTGTAGTGATGTCAGAGGATTTAATTTCCTCTCAATCACTTTTCTAGCTTACTTACCTCTAATTGCCATGCCCGGGTTTTCAAATACAGAGGATATGGCATTTCTTACCTATGCCCAAGTGTTTCCTACGAAAGGACGCGATCTAGAAGGTCGCTTTCGTTTTCCTGAGGCTATGTAGATTGTAGAAGGCGCCAGCCCCTTCGGCAGCCAAAGTAGGCAGCCAGAAGTACAGAAAGACTTGGAAACTAATTTCCTGCTGCTGTTCGTCCGGACCCAGCTGCAGTCTGGCGAGGAAAGCGGGGACGAAGCGCTCGTGAGAGAGCAAGAATGCCGTGGGGAGGAGACTGCTGCTGGCACGCCTTGGATCCGCCTTCAAATGTGAGTTCTTTACTAGGGCAATAGAACTTGATATAAAGTGTCAGAGAACACGGGTTATTTCTTTTAATGCAAAACCACTATTTTAATGAAATAATGTCTTCTGTAAAAGTTCAGTTTCTAGCCGCTCTGAAGCCCGTAACTCTTTCAGACGATATCCAAGAACTTTAAAAAGCCATCAGCTCGGTCAATTGCAAGCACCTGCTTTTTGCACATTACTCGCTCGCTCTCTCTCTGCTTTTAGACTTTCTGGTCACACACGCTTAGGCACAAAACTTTCCTGGATTGTGTAAATTCATATCTAAGAGTGCCAAATAATCAATCCTATTGGAGTTAATTCTTACAGTGTAATCATAGCACCTAAAATGTAACTTTTAAAGAGCAGAGTGTAAATATCACAGCCTTGAAAATAATTAAAAGAAATAAAATTTCTTAGGCATTTTTTCTTGAACATATGCCAAATTGTATTAACTTGATAGCAAAAGAATTAACAAGTTGACTTTTTGTTGTTGTTATTGGTTTTTTGGCCAGTTACAAAGACAGTATGAAAACAGAGAGCTTCTAGAGTTAGAAAACAAATTGCTTCCATAAACAGCTAATTGTTTTTGTTCTGTTTTAAACAAGACAGATAGCTTTCATTTCGTAAGGTAATAAAAACATAATGTCCGTAACAATGATTACAAAGGAAGTCTGTAGCAGGGATGGTCTGAGGTACTTGGTGTGGTGACTATCAGAAGAAAAAAATATGACATTTAAAGAGTACATGATAAGAATACATATGTGGCTGAAATTGAAATAACAAGGTTTCATCCTTCAACTGTAGTATCCAATAGGGCCAATTAACATGAAAACATGAAATGGGATCAAAGAGTGATCAGAAGCCAAGCACCAAATAAGCTCTTAATTTTTAATAGTCCATTGCCAGTGATTTTTTTTTCCAGCTTTAAAGATGTAGAATGCACAATTTATCCATCTTTTTTAGTTTTGGCACAAACTTTTTTCTTTGATATAGAGCAACCCAAATATTTCCAGTGCCTGTCTACTTCCTAGGATTGTTTGAGAAGATTCAATGAGATAATGATGATAGCCTTTTGAATATTTTAAAGCACTAGACAACTATAAATAGCCCCCCTCCCCAACTCAGACAGACTTACTTTTCACCCATTTATTCTTTAATTTATACAATGGAGATAAGCTTTTAAAAATACAATAAATGTCCATGATGTTCTCTTAATTTGATTAAAACATTTATATATTAGGTGGAATCATTTTTTCTGGGAAATATTTTAAGAACTGGATGGATAACCACCTGTCTAGATACACAACGTAAAGGCTGGGAGAGGAATTAGATCAGTATTTCCTAGCCTTTTGGATGTAACAGATCATTAAAATACTAACAACAATAATGATAATAATGAAGAAGAGGTTATCACTGAGGAGGCAACTTTCTATTTTACCAAGTAAGGACGTTCAAAAATTTAAGAATCTTTATATTTTTATTTCATCAAAGGACACTTTAATACCACAAGAATTAAGAAGGACATAGTATCAGAATAAAGAACCGTCTTTTAAAGTGAATGCATTTAGCTTTCTGAAAAACTTACTACTTTTTCCTTCATTTTACCACAGGTGGTGAAAATTTCAACACAGATTGACATCAATTCTCAGACAGTGATTGAGACTGTTACAAACCGTGCCATTAACTTCACCATAATCAAACAGATTTACTATAGTTCTCCAGGTCAGCATAGTTTCTCAAAAAACAAACTAAACTGATGACTTGAACATAACGTAAATTAATGACTCAAAAAACAAACATTCTATATTTCACAATTTTAGCAAATCAAGTTAAACAAACTTACTTAAAATAATTGGCATTTTCACAAACAGCGAATATATGTATATATGCATACATATTCACACACAGTACTTCCAAGCCTTGATAACAATTAACATTGAAATACAAGAAAGAGGAGAAAACATTAATAATGTATATCTGTTAATTCGATAAGGTGTAAGGTTGTGCACTTGTAATTTATGGAGGGGTGTTATTGACCTTTGTTTTATGAGATGATAATGTTGTTGTTTTTTTTTTCTCCCATGGCCAACTAACTGGGTATACATTTAAAATGTGTCTGTCTTTGAAATTGCAGGTCAAAGTCTCCACATTAAAGCACCAAATGAGGCTAAGCTCCAAGTATGTGAGGCACGAGTGTTACAGAATTTTCTGGAAAGCTAATTAAGTCGACTAAATTAATTGACACATCAAGAAAGTAATTTTCTAAAAGGGTGTGATTCTGAAAGATTGGTTAAACCATAGAAAACGAGAAGCCGGAACAGAGGCTCTGGATTTAGAAGCCTTGTTTGTGCATCAGGGCAACTTAGGTTTAAACCCTTTCTTCAGACAAACTATTTAAAATAGGATGTAACTTTTAATCGAAAAGAGGGAGTAGGTGTAGTATTTTAGCCCTGATGGCACAGTGGGTAAGCGCTCGGCTGCGAACAAAGGTCTGCGGTTGGAACCCACCACCTGCTCCATCGGAAAAAAAGATGTGGCAGTAGGCTTCCATACAGATTAAAGCCTTGGAAACCTTATAGGGCAGTTCTGGAGAGATTTTTCACAGAGATTACCGGGGAAGGGAAAAACAAACACACCCACAAGAAGTAAGAGGAAGAAGGCAGCTTTCCCGTAAGAACGCGGAGAGGTGCAGACCAGACCCAGGAGGAAACGCGGGCCGGCCGGCGGTTCGCGGTCCCGTCACGTGGCTCGCGCGCTGACCGCCGGGAGCGCCGCGCGCTGTCCGCAGGCCGCGGTTTTTTTTTTCGCACCCGCGCGTCTGGCTCCCTCGGTCACGCGCTTTCTCTGACGAAGAAGGTCTCGACGCCGGGTAGAGTGGTCTTGGAGTGGGACTAGAGGGTTGAACGCTCGTGAGAGTGTGACTGTGAGGCACTGAGAGGACGGATGCTTCCTCTCAGGGTCTCTGGTGGGGATAAGCGCCAAGTAGGGAAAAAAGGGGGTAGAGGGCCAGAAAGGAGAAAAAGCTAGGTGAAATGGCCTGAGGGGCCGGTAAGGCGTTGAGAAGAAGAAGCAGTGTTAAAAAAAAAAAGAGTTGCGTAAGGCAAAGCGGGTAGTGCTTGGTAATGACTTACCTCACCAACGCCTTAGATTGCATAGTCTGGGTCAATTTCTTTGAATGATATTTGTCACAGGATGAGTACCAGCCTCTTTACCAGGCCTGGATTCAGATAAACTGAGGCCTTAAGTTATGACAGAAAAATTAATTTACTTTTAGAGAAACAAAGAATTGTCTAGAAAGTTTTAATTTGACGCATGTGCACATTCTATTATTTGTGAAAGAAGAGCAGAGGTGTAGATGAGAAAAGGGGAAGGGGAAAGGAGAACAACCCTCATGTTGCTTTCTTTGAAACATTTGCCAGCTTTCCAAGACAAAGTCAGCCTGGCTGTACATGTGTAGTATATTAAAGTTAAAAGGTACTGACAGGAATGTAGAGGCACTATATGGGATTTACTAAACAAAAAACTTTCTCTATAGTTTGTTGTTGCTGTCTGTCTAAATAATCAAACAGATTTATTACGGTTATTGAGGTTAGCAGAGTTTTTCAAAAAAAGTAAATCGATGACTTGAATGTAGACAGGACTCATCTCTAAGATGTAAAATACATTATATAGTCTCAACAATTTTTTTCTTTAAACTTAATCTTTCAGACTCTTAGGGAAAAATCCTTCAGAATTTATGGGAAAGTAATTTTAAAGTAAAATTTGATGCTATATACGATAAGCTACGACAATGGAAATAATCTAGACGATTGAGGAGATCTTGGTTCTGGTCTGACCCAGTTTTACTTGTTTGAACTTGGTCAGCCGTCTCTGTCCCTGCTTTTTCATTTGTAAAAAAAATGACATTGGATTAGATGAACTCTAGGATCTACTCAAACATTAAGATTTTGTGAAGATAAAAGAATCCTAAATGAGCCAACCCTGAAAAAAGGCAAAAGTGCCAAAGAAGCTAGTTTGACTGAGTGCATATAGAGGAATAGTTGGAAATGATGGGAATGGTGGATAGGCACCAGGTGATGTAGGACCTTGGGTGCCGTGCCATGAAATTTGAATTTATTCTGGAGGCAGTGACCCTTCAAAGGAAGGATTTTGAGTTAAGGGAATGCAGGAATCAGAGTTTTGAAAGATTACCCAAACAGCAGTTGGTAGGATGAATTAGAGAAGGGAGAAATTGAGTAGTTTGGCAGATGAGAGCCTAAAGTAAAACAGTGACAGTAGAAATGGAAATGGAAAGATTCAAGAGAGCTTTGTAGTGTAGAGTTTGTACCTAATTTTGGCATTTGTTATGAACTTTGCAGCTTATACTTCCATAATATGATGTCAGGTCACCTTGTGAAACCTGATACTAGAAATTGCAAGAGACCAAGAGAGTTGGAGGTAAAGGGCCCTGGATCTTTTTATTCTATTTTTTTTTTTTTTTTCTATTTTGTATACCTCTCAAATTTCTTCCATTTAAGAAAATTCTGTTAATAAATGCAATTTGATGTTGTCATATTCCCAGAGCTAGAATTGTCCCAGTAGTCTCTATGTTGACTACAACTGCTTTTTTCTAAATATAGGCCTCCAAGAAACTATTGGGAAATTTCGTTGTGGTAATTTGTGATCTAGAATCAGAAGTGAGACCATGCCTTTATGACCCACAGGACTTTAAATGGTTATTTTGCGATGAATAGATACCTAGGTATTTTTAAAGATGGGCACTGTACTGTGTTCTTCTTCACTACTATCCCCACCAACTGATCTGTTTGGTTTGGGACATTATTTGCTCTCTTAAAGATTATATTGTTTTGTAAAATTTTGTAAGCATTCGGCTATTGTCCAAATGACAGTTTTGCTATTTTATATTGTTATGGAAACATCAACTGGTTCAAGATACAGGAAACTTTTTCTTTGGGACATTAAAACCATATGAAAAGTCTAATTTAAAAGCAAAATAAAATTTAGTAGGTTGAGCAAGGTGCTGCTTGGGCCTAAAAGTTTCCTTGATAACATTTCAAATGACTAATTAGGGCACAGAAGTATATAATTTCTGACATTTTTTTTTCCTGAAAAATGTTTTATTTACCTTTTTTTTTTTTTTTTTTTTTTAAAAAAAAAACAACAACCCAGAATTTATATGTCCTCCTGGAGCCCTGCTGGTGCAGTGGTTAAAGTGCTTGACTGCCAACCAAAAGTTTGGTGGTTCAAACCCACCAGCCACTCCTTGGGAGAGAGATGTGGCAGTCGGCTTCCGTAAATATTTACAGCCTTGGAAACCCTATGGGGCAGTTCTGGATTGCTATGGGTCAGAATCAACTCAATGGCAGTGGGTTTGGTTTGGTTTGGATATGTCCTCAAGATTTTATTGACTATATACTTGTTTTCTTTGCTTTCTTCCATTAGCCTCAAATGCCAGATAGTCCACAGCTGTCTTCTCTTGGAAAATCAGATTCATCTTTCTCTGAAAGCTCTGGACTGTTTTATAAAGATGAAGCCCTGGAGAAAGATTTGAATGGTGATGTATAAAATGCTTATATTTCTCTACAAAAGAATACTACATTGATTTTATAATGCAGAAGGTTTGTCACAGTTGATAACTTACTCAGTGATTTTTTTTTTAACAGATATGAGCAAGGATATTAATCTAATGTTGTCTGCATATGCAAAGATCTTAAGGCAAGTACTTACAGTATATTTTCTTGAGTCTCTACCTTAGAAATAGAAGTTTTTTTCCTGGAAACTCTGTAATAGGAAGTTTAGTTTAGTGGCTGAAAAACCTATGCAGTAATTATAATTTTGGAATTTTTAAATTCTACCTCAGTTTCTTGTAATAGATTAGTTATTTTCAGGCAATAACCCTAACTTTTCCACTAAACATCCTTTTTTTCCTATTGCCAGAGGTAGTACTGGGCTGGATATATCTTGGTCTCTAATTAGGTGACATTACATGTTAAATTTTTATAAAAACTTCTTTGAGAAAAATACAGTTTGGTTGAAATTAATGATAATAGAGCAATATTATAGACAAAAATATTTATTTTACATATTTATCTAGATATATTTGAAGGTGGAATTTAAATATTTTGTTGGCCTGAGATCATAATGTTTTATAAGGCAGTTTTATAAAGTACTGAGCAGTCATTGTATTTGAATAATAGTTTGTATGGCTATTAAAAGAATATACATATAGTTTAATATTAGAGTTATAATATATAAGATGTGCCTTCTGCTGTGTTATTAAGCAGTCAAAAATATTTGTGGGACTAACTTTTACCAAAGAATGAATAAATTTTTGGTGCACCAAGCCATTTAAATGAAATTGGTAGCAAATATAGTAAAAAACATTACTATGATGGTATGTTTAGACTTTATAACTATTTAGTCTAACATAAAACTTTTTTTCCCATTAGTGAGAGAGCAGCAGTAGATGCATCTTACATTGATGAGATAGATGGACTCTTCAAAGAAGCCAATACTATTGAAAACTTTCTAATACAAAAGAGAGAGCTCCTTAGACAGAGGTTTATGGAGATTGCAAACACACTACACAGATAAAGTTGTGTATTTAAAATAAGCTGAGAATTTAAGCTATGTATCCCATTATTATCATAATGAAAAAATAATATTTATGCTCTGAAAGCTCTCTAGTTTTAAAAGAAAATGTATACCTTAAACATAGAAGGGGACACTCTTTTGAATTTCTTTTCTAGATTAAAGGAATCTTTAAACTGTACATTAATATGAAGTATGTTGTTTTATTTTGTGGGTTGAATATTTGACAGATTTTATAAAAGCATAAATTAAAGCATATGTGGATTTCTTTTTTTTTTTCCTTAAACCTCCTAGCCTTTCTTAAACTTGTAAAAGGGACTCGATGAGTTAATTTGATAATGCTTAACAATAATGCACGTTTTCATTTATAATATTTTTTAAAGTAGCAGATAGCTTTGGAGACAGTTTAAAAAAATTTTTTATGGTCAATATTATTTAAAAAATTAAAACTTTAAAGATAATTTGTCTATTTTCTCAATATGTAATGAAAGATAACTGTGCTATTGCTATTTAATATCATTTGTTTATTTTCACTAGTTATTATATATGGCTAATAAAAATTTTGAGTTTAAAATTATATTCTTGTGCTAAAAGCAGTAAAATAAAAACCCAGAAATTATTAACCAGAACCTTGTATGAATTGACTGTTTTACATATTAACCGTATCAATGTGTGCAGTTAATGGATTATATTCAGAAGCCTTAGCAGAGTGTGGTATGGGATAATGATTAGTGGTCCAGAAGTAGAAATTGGCTTAAACAACGAGACAACCTTGGCAAGTCACTTCAGTCCTATTATAATTCAGAAATTTAATTTGGACTAGAGGATCTCTAATACCAATCTAGCTAAAAAAGTTCTCCCTTTTGTGTAAGGTACTGCAATATGCTATATAACTACATGGGATAACTTTATTAAATCTGATAATTTTTAAATCACAGGACCTATTTTTCAATCATATAAATAATTCAATTTATTTTACAGGTATTTTGCTGATACAAACAATTAACAAATTTGGACACATTTGCAAATAGTACCACAGAGAATTCGGCATTTCTAAGGCGGAAAGCACGGTTACCTTGCTGCTGTCTAAACTCTAAAATAAAATTGCATTTCATCAAATTATTGTTAAGGCGTATACACTGTATAAGATAAATACCCATACAAGAAAGGATGACAACAGTAAAATAAAATAATATTTACAAAAAAATTATTAAGTAGAAAAAATTATTGCTGGTAGAGGTATATACTGATGGCACAGGATAGGCTGGAGGTCAATAAAGTAACTATAAGAGATGAAATTTTATTTAATGCTAAATGAGCTAATGTTAATGTAACATGGATTTTGAGTCATTCTTTTAGCTTACAGAGTTCTTTAATATTCTAAATACAAAATAACTACTGAGTCTACTCCATCATCATTAAGTAATGTTCTTGAGTTATTTTTTCCAAACATGTATTATTAATGTGAAAGATAAGGCCAACAGACAGTTGTAAACTGGATTTCATAATATACTTGTTATATGTTGATGGTTACTGTTGTTCAGCATCTGATTCTTAGCTTTGCAGATTCAGATAATTGATTTGATTGTTTTATTTGTTATGATTAACTCTAGGGAACTGACTTTAGGTCACAATGTGTTTACTGGTAAGAATAGTTACTTCTTAGTATAAAAGTGCCTGTAAGCCTAATTATGACTTATCTTCAAATTTTGATGGCTTTATAATATCCACATAGACAAGAAATCTCACGACTGATGATATGCTATTCAGAAATACCATTTACGCTTCCAGCATCACTCTTTTTCATTTCAATAAAATTTCACAAGTTTATAAATTATTTTTCATTGATTACTAATAAAAATATATGCTGAAGATCTTTGTACAACATACTGTGTCTGGTAGGCATTGTGGGCAATACAGAATAGTTTAAGACACTCTGTTCTCCCCTTCTAACAATGTTAACCATGCCTTTATTGAAATATACATACAGTTTTGCTAGGAAGACAATATGTAAAAAGCATCTTACAAAATAAGGCATTACATGAGAAGCACCATGTTAAAGGCAATGTGTGCTGTGGGAGTTACTAGAATGCATTTAGCAAGGGAGTCAGAGAGGTAGATTTGGAATCGAATTTTTGAAAAGTAAACGGAGGATATTTCAGGCAGAGAAAAGTTCAAAGGCACAGAGGAACAAAAACTTATAGTATGTTAGAAAATCACTTTACTGGGATCAGAGTTCACAAAGAGGAATAGTGTATGATCAAACTACTAGAGGGTCTTGTTACTTCATATTCTCAGTCCATAGCACAGTATTTGATATATTGGTGCTTAAAATGTTTGCTAAATTAATGAAATTACGTATGGTTGTAAGTTTTTAAAGGGCATACCTTCGCAGGGCCTTACTCATACTAGATTGTGAGAAAATGTCATGTAAGTTAAATGAATAGAAAAGGAAGGAAGAAATGAGAGAAAAGCAGAGAGACAAAAGATTAAAGGAAGGTTGTGGCCAGATTGTAGAGTCCCTTATTACCAGACTAAATTTGGACTTTATTCCATAAGGAAAGAGAAGATCTGGATATTTTATAGGAGAGAAGTGGCATAATGAAATGAATCCCATGAATCAGCTGACTTAAATGTAATGTAAGGACAGATTCAAAAGAGGAGAGAGTTTAGGGAGAGAGACCATTATTGGTGGTCCAGTCACCTCATATGCATGTGAAAGCTGGACGATGAATAAAGAAGACCGATGAAGAATTGACGCCTTTGAATTGTGGTGTTGGTGAAGAATATTGAATATACCATGGACTGCCACAAGAACGAACAAATCTGTCTTGGAAGAAGGAAAACCAGAATGCTCCTTAGAAGCAAGGATGGCAAGACTATGTCTCACATACTTTGGGCATGTTATCAGGAGGGATCAGTCCCTGGAGAAGGACATCATGCTTGATAAGGTAGAGCGTCAGTGAAAAAGAGGAAGACCCTCAATGAGATGGACTGACGCAGTGGGTGCAACAGTGGGCTCATAACGATTGTGAGGATGGTGCAGGACTGGGCAGTATTTTGTTCTGTAGTACATAAAGTCAGAACCCACTCACTGGCACCTTACCACGACAATTTTAATAGGTCAGACAGCTGCTCAAAGATAGGTTGTTGGGATACTTGTAATGGAAATGAGACTAAGAAACAGTATAAGCAGACTGAAATCTTGCCCCTTGCCCCAATTCTGTCAGTAAGCCAGGAAGTTCTGTGAATGTTGAACGTTTACTGGTGCATACAGCTGCCAGCTAGTGTGAGAATTTAAAAATCACAGAATCTGCTGGTACTGAACTAAAAAATGTTTTTTAGGATCTTTCTCTGTTTTTTCCAGTCATCTTTCTACTTTTGCAGTGGGTTTCCATTCTGTGATAGTGCACCGAATCCCAGGTAGGGTTTAGCTGCTTCCTCCTCCCTGTTCTCCTCTTTCTACCATTCTGCACTTAGAATTCTGCACCTCTTTCTTGAAGATTACCGGGGGCTTCTGAAGTTCTCTGCTCTGTGTGGAGATGATACAGGCAGCAATACCACAGAGCTGGAAGTTAAAGAAGACCGAGTCAGGATTAGTTTCCTTGTGAGGGAAACAGCCTTCACATTTGTGTATTTTATGCATCAGGATCCAATACTTTTTATCCTTCAACAGTGCCTAGCATTTTGTAGAATGAATAAAATAATTCAAAGAAAGATGATATTACATCTTGTTGCATTGATCATTAAAACATGTAAATAATTATGCTGAGTGAAATAAGTCAATCACAAAAGGACAAATGTATGACCTCACTTACATAAAAAGACAATAAAAGGCAGATGTATAGTTTATTAGAGGTTACTAGGGACAGAAGCGGACAGGAGGTTTAACAGTGATGGAAAAATTGCATTGAATAAAGTTGAGTTGCACAGCCGATTATTGTAAGTGCTGTCAATGAGTTGTACACCTGTAAAAAGTTGAATTAGCAAAGTTATATAATAGATATATTTACAAGGACCAAAAAAAAAAAAAAAAAGAGCTGCTGAAGCTGCTTATGTACAACCAAAAACCTCATGGAATTTGGTTCCTTGGTTTGGAGGTTTAGGGTCATCGTTTCATGGGACATTCCAGTTAAGTGATCTAATAAAATGTTTAATATTTCTGTTCTACCTCCTAGCTGCATAGCGCCTGGGGTCTTAAGAGCTTGTCAGGGGCCATCCAAGGCACGACAATTGGTCTCTATTCACCTGAAACAAGAAGAAGAAGGAGGGTCAGGAATAGGAGGAGGATACGGGATGCGTGGCTAATTGCCTCTGTGAACAACTACCTCCTTTGCCATGAAGAACTGGGTGGTGCCTTGCTACCATTACTGAACATTTTGATTAAAGATTCTATGGAAGAATACTGATAAAAAGAGGCAAAACTTGGAACAGAATTTCTAAATCTCATGGACGCCAAGCTTTCTGGAGCCATGGGGACTGAATGAACCCCTGAAACTATTGCCCTGAAATAATCTTTAAACCTTAAACCAAAAATATTCCTTGAAGTCTTCTTAAACAATAGCCAAGCTTAACTAGAAAAAAAAGTTTGCCTTGAGCATTGTGCTGTTTTAAGAACTATCTTTATGGGATCAAATTGACAACAGCAACTCCAAAGATTAGATAGAAACCTTAAGAGAAGTGAGTTAATGTTAATGGGGGAGGAACAACTCAGAAAAAGAGGGTGAGAACGGTTGCACAATTCAAAGAATGTAGTCAGTGTCACTGACTTGTACATGTAGAAATGGTTGAATTGATGTATGTTTTGCTGTGTATGTTCTCAACAACAAATAAATTTTTTAAAAAGTAAAAAAAATAAGTAAATAATAATAGCTAGACTTCTGGGCAACATGGTGCTATACACAGAAGCACCACGCTGTCCCTCCACAGCAAAGATCTGAAAAACTAAGTCAAACAGAGACGCACATCAATCCTGAAACTCTAAGCATCAAATGAAGACATAAAAAACTCAGCCAAGCACCAAATGGAATAAGAAACTGACAGAACAGAGAGCAAGGAGAAATACACGCCATGGTCCCCATTCAGCTAACACAGCATGGATCTGCCATCTTGGACTCCTATTGGAGATCAGCAAACAGGGTACGAGAAAGCAGCTTCACAGAGCTTCCAGCAGGAGACAAAACAACCGGTAACCAGCGGTATATGCTTTCCCACCCCCACCCATCTTCACCCCTACTTGGCGTCCTCTGCTTCCTGTGGCCACAGTCTCTTGGCTGGGAAGCACCGGCTTCACCCCAGTGCTGCTTGGATTCCACCTGCACCGGCTAGCTCCCTGAGTGCCATTTGTTGGCTGCTGGTGTTGCTTTTTTCCACTTCTTTAGATTTTTTCCTTACATTTCACTACCTCCCCCTCCTTTCTCTCAAATACCTGGCTCCATGTGCCATCTTTGCTTCTTCCTCAAAGGCTGCAAAACACCACTTGACACTGAAACTGCTTCCTGCCCCGTGCCACCATGCTGGTGGGAACCTTGGGGCTTTATTTTTGTTTGTTCTGAATTGTTCTGTTTTGATTTGTTTGTCTTCTTTTACTTTTCTTGGCTTGGGAGCCCCTTCTAGCTGGGCAGCACTGTGCACTTGGAAGCTACTCCCTTACTCTGCGCAGATGTATAGTGGCATCCCTGGGGGGCATTTCTTTTTTTCTTATTTTTTTTCATTTCTTTGTTTTATTTTCTTCCGTCTCTTTTTCCATTATTGTCTTTCTTCATTTCTCAGTTTCTCGTCTCTCTATACTTACCTTCTTTTCCTGTCTCCTGAATACCTCTTACTGTGTGACACCTCTACCCCTTCTAGCCAGGCTGTACTTCATGGTGTGGGAGCAGCTTCCCCAGTCTTCCCTGCCACACGGGTGGGATCCCTGCAGGCTTTTTTTTTTTTCCTAATTTTTATTTATTCATTTTTTTCTTTTACCCCTTT